CAGGAACTTTGTCCCTTTGTATACTGTATCACCATACATGCAACTGGAACTGTTAGTCTGAGCATCAAATGCTAAAGCAAGAGGGTTAACACTGTTCTCTAATGAAAACCGTGTGTTTCATAAAAACACCCTTTAGCCTCCTTATGAGATACCTAAGGTACTTGACAAAGTGTCAGTATTTGAAGCCCTGATGCTCTTTAAGCTCTGTTTTTGGTCGCTACCAATTCCTGAAGGAAACATCTGGCTTTTTAGCTGCTAAATGTTCCATGATGTTCACCAGCTAGTCACTAGTTTTGCCTGTCTGCCATCTGGTGCTGAGCGGGTCCTCTACAGTGGGTTGATCAGGGTTTTCACTGAAAACCTCAAAACAACACTACAAAAGTGGTAAAAACAGTAAAATTGTGGTCTGTAAAACTCATTGACTGTATAAACAATCTCCCAGAAATGAATGTATTCATGATATTTGGGTTTAAGTTTTGCATAGTGGAGGAAAGTGGTGACACCATGTCCATCATATACAGTATACAGTCAATGATCAAACCACAAGCTGAAAGATGCTAAAAAGTGATATAGAACTCAGGGGGGCTGTAGTGTTGGGTGATCAATCTTTGTCAGTTTGACATTAAGAGTGACCATTTTCACATACAAGTAGTCATATCATTCATAGTTAATATAAAATATTATAGTTGCTTTAAATATTTATCAGTAACATTAAACATTAATGACTAAGTTTGCAACAGTCAAATTTAGAATAATAAATACCTTTAAATACTGTGTTTTTACAAGTTTAACATTCGGTCTGCTTTGTCAAATCCATGTGGGTGTGGATTGATCAGATTTGACTGTAGCAAGAAGGTGATTGACAAAGTCGACTGTTAGAACCTACAAGGTCCTAAAACTGGTTATATAGTCCTTAAACGTGTTGTATCAGTGTAATTTCTATTTTTAATTCTCCAGAATGTCAGTTTGCTTTACCTTTTAATTTGCAACTGCATCATAACTCACAGGAGAAATGACCCTGACCTTTACACTTGTGATTTACGGCTGCTTGTCATTTGTGGCGACACACTGAATGAACTGAAGTGTGTCATCGTCAGCGCGGCATCATCACTGCTGCTAAAAACAGTAATGCGGCCTCATGAGTTGCAGAGCGTTGATGTCATTCACACTCATGTTTGCTCTGTGCCATTTGTATATGAGCGTGTATAGGGTGCTAATGACGGGGGAGGAGTGGGGTGGATGTAGAATTGGTGGGATACAGCTGGACGGAGTGGGAGACTATGGTGAATAGGTAACCATGGTAACTCTGTTGGCTAAGATTCGAATGGCAAGAGAGCAAGAGCAAAAAAGGGGGGAAGAAAGCTATAGTGTGTTTGTGTGAGGTGGATAGAGATGAGAGGGGTTAGGGGTTAATATGCATCATTGTAGCAGGTTAATCTATTATCAAACTGTGAGGTCAGCATGCTGCTTAACCCCGCCAGTGGACATTACAGTGCAATGTATGAGAAGGGGGGAGCTGAATGACTTTGCAAAAGAGTTCACAAAGAGGAAGAGAGTGTTCCTACTTTTACAGATGGGATGAGAAGGGACATACCAGCACAGAGGGAGTGGATAAGGAGGCGGCATTTGCAGGTAGAGACGTCTGGAACGTGGGTAGTCACAGCAGTGAGGCAGAATACTATCGACCAGCCTGAGACCAACTGTCAGCTCCAGCTTGTCTGTCTCCTCTATGGACTCTCACTCACCCCATCCCCCATCATATCAAATACCAACTTAACCTCAGCCAACTCCTTTTTTCCCCTTGCAAATTTCAACTGATGCTGTCTACCTGAAATAGCTCTGGCACTTATTTCTTGCTGGCAAGAATAAAAAAAAGAGGCAGCTGAAAATTACAATATGTAAAAAAAAAAAAGGTGAGTCGATCCAAAAATAACACCAGAGTGCCTCTTTATCCATTGGCGCTGGCAGCGCTGTGTGTCGGGATACAGATAAATGAGCGGCACTCGCAGGGCAGAGAGCGTTGTTGCACTGTTGCCGGGTATTGCAGTTGTTGCGGTTCCCACTGCTGTTGGTGCCCTGCTCTCTCTGACTATAATGTCCTTGTATGTGTTTTAATGTCATTGAACTAATGCATACATATCACCGATCAATCTCAAGCCCACTTCTCCTCTCACTCCTCCAGCGCCTCTTTCTTTTTCTTTCTCCACATCTCCAGCTGCTTCATATTCATCACATCATATTGACTGTATTGTCTTTTGCCTCCATCTCTCCGTCGCACTCTGTTTTATATGCTTCTGTGTTGTCATTTCCCTCCCTCAATCCCTGCCTGCTTTATATTCATCTCTCCATTGAGCCTCCTCCCTTCTCCTCTCTTTCTCCCTCTATCACCGAGTGAGAGATTATTAATATTAATGTCTCTTCTCTCTTTTCCTATTTTCCCTCTTCCACTTTTTTAAAATCTTTCTTTTACTACTGATCTCCTTTCTACTCTCCCCACTATTTATACCTCTCTCTGGGTCTTTATCCTTCATCATCTCTTTCACTCAACCTCCCCTCCATCTGTTTCCATCTCTAGCTCTTCCTTTCTCTCTTTCTTTCTCCGGCCCGCTCTCTGCAGCTGTTCAGTATTCATCTATTACTGTAGTGTTGATAATTCCCTTCTCTGCCTGCAGCCATACAGTCATCTATCAGATTAATAATCCTTCTCATTCCCAGCCCCCACCCCCCATCTCCTTTCTTACTGTGCCAAGTGAGGATGCTCAGCGTGTCAAATGAGTTTGCGTGTCAAAGTCCCATCATCACAACCACCATCATAGTTAATAACCGTATCTAGATTGCTGGATGCCCTTATTTAAGGTTGTTCAGGTCTAAATAACCTGCAGAGAGGAAAGGAGGCTCTGTGCCTCTCCAGGCTGGCAGAGCCTGACTTGAGCTGGCCATCTATTAGTGTTAATGTAGGCTGCACCATTCGCCACATTCTCCTGCCCCAAGAGCATGCAATGCTCTGATCGGACTGAATGGGTCCCACCACTACTGCAAAAAGTGCCACTGAATACTGGTTTTTAAGGTATAGAACCCACTTTTGATTTATAGGTGCTAAGGGTAGCATGTTCAAACGTCAATATGTCATTGTTGTATTAATTGTTATACCTCGGTATAATTAACGTTAACAAATGAGACCGAGCAGAGATGACTGGAAGCCTCTGTTTCACACCAGTGGTATTATTAATGGTTTTTAGACTTAACCACATATCTTATATACACTGTTGCTTCCTGTCACAAAGTGTGTGTGTGTGTGTGTGTGTGTGTGTGTGTGTGTGTGCATATGGCCTTGTTTACATATGCTTGTGGGGATAGAACACTGGCAGCACAGTGCTTTGTGTGGACTGGAGGCTGGGCCCCATGACTAACTCATCAAATGACGGGGTGTAAGTGTAGAGCAAGTGTCGGCTTTGGCAGGTCACGCTTCTGGTTAAGGTTAGGGTAAGTCTCGGTAAGTCTGTGTATGGACCCTGTAAGAGACGATCACAAGGGTGTGTGTGTGTGATTGATTTGAAGCTTTGTTTGCACTGGAAGGCAGCACATTTGCTTTAAAGTCCAACATTGTTTCTATGTAAAAAGGGAACCAGAGTTATAGGTTCCTTCACCAAATTTCTACTTATGTTTCCCATATACAGTGTTTCTCTCTGTCACAAAGTGTGTGTGTGTGTGTGTGTGTGTGTGTGTGTGTGTGTGTGTGCATATGGCCTTGTTTACATATGCTTGTGGGGATAGAACACTGGCAGCACAGTGCTTTGTGTGGACTGGAGGCTGGGCCCCATGACTAACTCATCAAATGACGGGGTGTAAGTGTAGAGCAAGTGTCGGCTTTGGCAGGTCACGCTTCTGGTTAAGGTTAGGGTAAGTCTCGGTAAGTCTGTGTATGGACCCTGTAAGAGACGATCACAAGGGTGTGTGTGTGTGATTGATTTGAAGCTTTGTTTGCACTGGAAGGCAGCACATTTGCTTTAAAGTCCAACATTGTTTCTATGTAAAAAGGGAACCAGAGTTATAGGTTCCTTCACCAAATTTCTACTTATGTTTCCCCCACAAATAGTTTCCCCCCCAGGAGTTTCTGGTTAATGCAGAAAATGTCTGGATCATATTATTTCACATGCTCTTAACATGGTGTTCTACAAGATGATAAATGACACCTGTTAACCTAAACATTTGAACAGTTATCTTGATTAATAATAAATAATTAATCAAGTAAAAATACTTAAGCTTGTGATTTTTCAGTTTTACATTGAGTGCATATTGGAAATCTTTGTGTGCGTGTGTGTGTGTGTGTGTGTGTGTCTGAATATAGCAAAGCATAGATCATTTTTCCCTTAAACATCTTACCTACCAAAGGAAAAAAAAACCACACACAACAACAAACATATAGTGAAAATAACTGCAATATTTTCAGGTCTAAATTTTCTATTGAAAAGCTGCCTTGGGAACCCAAAATATAACCGGCTTTAATTTCTGACTTAATCTACAATAAAGGGCTCACATCACTGTGTGAGATGAAGCTCATGCACTCACAACAATTACGCATCGCTTTCAGATTTATTCATGTTTACATGCTAAATGCAGTCCTGTAAAGACAGACATACCTTGTTTTCCTACTGTAGATTGCGTGTTTTCATATTTCCTTACCTTGAAACATTAATTACATAAATCAGCTTTCACCTGCCCTGGGTGGAAGGATTTGATTTCTGACAAAATGTCTGCTCAGGGATTATGTGGGATTTGATATGAGCAGTGACACAGAAGTTCTAATGCTTCTCAGAGATTTCTTTTGACAGTCTGTCCCATGATAAGCTGTACTCTAGATGTCTACCTACTATTTGTTCTATTCATTCTTTGTTGGTGAAAATACATAGCACTGTCTGTGTTCTGTCTTTAAAATCTGCTCTCTCTCTCTCTCTCCCCCTCTCTTTGTCTTTCTCTCTCAATTTTTTGTTCTCCCACAGTAACTCCTGGATTCTTCTCTGTTCACAAAAAGCCTCACTCAAATCTCCAGACAACACCAGAAAAAAAGGGAATAACATCTGTTTATCTGCATATTTTCTTTGTAAAAACAACAAAAAAAGCAAAAGGAAAAACAAAAATCAACAGAGGACAAAAAACATCTCAGAGGATGAGGAATTAGAAATAACAAATTGCCACTGTAGGACCAAAGGGAAATCAGACCTCTCGCAAATCCGCCAGTGTGAAGTCACCTCACCTGTACCTTCGGATTAAAGAGCAGGGTCATGTCCCAGTTGCCATGCGCATCGCCACGCTGACCTGCCTTCCCAGCCCTTCCCCCTTCCTCTTTCTGCTGGCCCAGCTGCTACTGCGGCTCCTCCTCCCTGGGCCGGAGCTGGTGGGAGCCACCTCCTCTTGCCCCTCCCTCTGCACCTGCTCCAACCAGGCCAGCCGAGTCATCTGCACCAGGCAAAACCTGGAGGAGGTGCCCGAGAGCATATCAGTCAACACGCGATACCTCAACCTGCAGGAGAACTCGATACAGGTAAATATTGGTTGGAGGGAGTCAGCCATCAAGTCAAGTGATGTCACTGTCAATGCTGATTTGTACTGTGTATGACAAAATACTTTGCATACAGATATGATGTACTTAGCATGTAGATATAAATATCTACATGACAATAAAATCCATGTTTTAGTTTCCTAAATACATAAATTCATATTATTTGGTGCTTTAAGTCACAACAAGTGATGTAATTTAATGGCTGTCTGAAAATATTATTGATTTCTTTCAGCTGTTGGTTGTTTCTCATATAACGATGACTGAATAGAGGTCATGGTTCACTTTCATTTTTATTTACAAATTCAACACAGCATAAATTGGACAGAGAAAACACATTTTATGATTTTGAACACGTCAGTGTTTCTTGTTTTCACTACTTCTCAGCACACAGCCTGTTGACACATCTTTATACAACTATTGATTTAATATATTTTTACTGTAGCTATTTATACAGTTATTGATAGAAGAGACAAATCCCTTTTTTCTCTGAGTGCACACACGTACACAAATAAATTCAGACACATTTATATACTTCTATATCTCGTACACTTGCATTTGTTTCCCATAATCATGAAGTTTTGTTTTTACAGCCAGTAGTAGATGTTAGGATTAACTTGTTGATACAGGTTTTCACTTAGAAAAGACAGAGAAGTAAGTGGCACTAATGGTAGAGAAAAGGCACTTAAGCCTCTGCTGAACTGAGGGAATATTTTATCAGGTGAAAGCAAGGCATATTTTCATGATACTGTGCTGCCTTTTGTATGCATTACCAATTTATCTTGAGTCCCCAGACAGCGTTTTGTGGCTTTACAGCTGCAAGGGAAGATCATTTAACCACAGACCATCGATACGAAGCACATGAATCTCTACATTTATAAACTGAGTGGGTTGATTTTACTCTTTGCAGCAGCATTTGGAGTAATTGGATCTCTTCTCATGTTGCTGACAGTGCTTTGTTCTTTTGAGATTTTAAATTCATTTTCACTGCATCTTCTCTAATGAAAAGCAGAGAATATCCCAAACATTGTTAAAATTATCATTTAAAACTGTTTTGTGCATTGGACAGAGTAAACATCTTATTAAACATTATGAGATGTTAACGGAGCATAAATGGGACTCGCGCCACATGGCTTGGTGTGTGAGTACTGTTCACATGAAAGGGAAATTAAGAAATAATACACAATGTTTGATGTGTTTCACTTTGAGCCTGCAAATTCTGATTCAGTTTGTTGTATCCTGCAGCCCCACTTGAAATGATTAAAAGTCTAAAAATGTTTTAACACCTGGAGGCATCCTAGATTCTCTGGCTTATTTTTTCCTTCATTGAGTACCCTGAGAGTAAAGCCTTGACAGCTCCCACCCCCTCTGAACATCCCCACCCGTTCCTCTATTTCTCTCCCACTTCCTCCTCCACTTTCGCTCTACATACACAAGAGGCAATGGCCTGACTCCAGGAGTCTCTGTGTGCCTCCCAGAGAGCTTTGGCCACACATATCTCAAACAGTCAGAGATTTAAAGGGATTTTAGTTGCCCTCACTAGCTGTGTGTCTCTGACTTCTTGCCAAATGAACTCCAGTTGGACTGCACCGACACTGGTGTGTGCTGTCCAGGGCCCGTGGCACCCATGTTGTCCAGAATCATGTTTTCCCGCAGGAAAACATTTCTGCTGGGCTCTCTTATGTAAAACAATTAAGGAAAAGTGTCACAGAGAAAATCTTTAGACAGTTTTGAAAGTGTATTAATTTAGTTTCATGGTGATTTGTGGTGGCACCTCATGTGAATAGCCCAACAGTGATAATCAGCTTATTATCAAAGGATTATAATGTGCCAGTAGAAAGTCCCCTGAGTCTCACTAAAACAACAGTGTGAAAAACAATTGGATGTCTGAAGCAGGCAATGGAATAAGGTCGGGGTTAGGAAAATGCCTGGCTTTACAGTACAGGTTTAACAAAGCTGTGTTTTGTTACATGGTAGTTTGTCAAATATCAGTATTAAACTACAAATTAATTTGGATTATTTTTGCCATTTTTTCACCATCAATCCATGACAAGCTGCACCACACTGAGGCCATGGTCATACAGTAGGTTACGGATAGCGTCCCAGAAATTTATTTTGGTCAGTCCCTTGTTTTGGAGGTGAAACTAAATGTGGGAATTTACAAAATAAAGTGTGTTTGTTATCAGGTTAAGGATTTGGGTTTTACCACACATCCACTATTTTCAACATCAGAATCAGATCCACTGTAACTCTAAAACTGTCACTCAGTATCTTTATGTCAACAACATGGTCAGTGTTTAACAGTGTATAACTGTTACTGTCAGCAGTCAGAGGGAGACTTCCCTGTGGTGGAAAGGTCAGTTGTTACCAGTTTGAGCAGACAAATGAATTATTTAAATTTCTTTATTTAAACATGTGTTTATCCATATTTGTGCCTTTGAATCATTCACTGACAGTTTTTTTAATACTTTGCAGATTATACTAACTTCAGTGTCAGTATCAGAGGTCCATGTCTGTTAAAGGTTATATGCATTTATGGATTTCATAAGCCCAAAATCAACAGAGTAATCAAAATGTCATTTTAAGAAGGTTGTATGTGATCCTTATAAGTAATAACACAAGATAGATAAATAAATTTTATTCTGTATTTTGTCATTCAAAGAGAAACAAGAGATGACTGTAAAATGTACATACTGTAACCAATTCCATCCTATTTGTCACAAATGGCTCTTGAGAAACACAACTGACTCTGCGTTTTCACTTTATCCAAAACCTTCCATTGTCAAATATATCCACACAAAAAGTTCAGTAACAAACATTTGAATGTCTGTTTGTAATCAGCATTAACCATTCTGTGTGTTGTACAGTAATTATATTATTACCTGTCCATCCAGGTTATCAAGTCAGACACTTTCAAGCACTTGAGGCACCTTGAGATCCTCCAGCTCTCCAAAAATCAGATCCGTCAGATTGAAGTCGGAGCATTTAATGGCCTCCCCAACCTCAACACGCTGGAACTCTTCGACAACCGCCTCACACTGGTTCCATCACACGCCTTTGAGTACCTCAGCAAGCTACGGGAGCTTTGGTTGCGCAACAACCCCATTGAGACTTTGCCAGGCTATGCCTTCCATCGTGTGCCCTCACTACGTCGCCTGGACCTGGGTGAGCTCAAGAAGTTGGACTTCATTTCTGACGCAGCCTTCGTGGGTCTCATCAATCTACGGTACCTGAACCTGGGCATGTGTGGACTGAAGGACATTCCCAAACTGACAGCTCTTGTGCGTTTAGAGGAACTGGAGCTGTCAGGAAACCGGCTGGAGATCATCCGACCGGGTTCTTTCCAGGGTCTAGTGTCTCTCCGCAAGCTGTGGCTCATGCACTCACAGGTTTCTGTCATTGAGCGCAATGCTTTTGATGACCTGAAGAACCTGGAAGAACTTAACCTGTCCCATAACTCCCTGCACTCCTTGCCCCATGACCTCTTCACGCCACTTCACCAGCTGGAGAGGGTACACCTTAACCACAACCCTTGGGTCTGCAGCTGTGAAGTGCTTTGGCTTAGCTGGTGGCTGAAAGAGACAGTACCCAGCAACACCACCTGCTGTGCCCGTTGCCACGCTCCCCCATTTTTAAAGGGCAAGTACATTGGAGAGCTTGACCAAAGCCACTTCACCTGCTATGCGCCTGTCATCGTGGAGCCACCTACAGACCTCAATGTCACTGAGGGTATGGCTGCTGAGCTGAAATGTCGCACAAGCACCTCCACGACATCAGTGAACTGGATCACTCCTAATGGAACTCTTGTGACCCACGGCTCTTACCGGGTGCGGATATCTGTTCTGCATGATGGCACTCTCAACTTTACGAACGTCACCCTGCGGGACACAGGCCAGTACACCTGTATGGTCACCAATGCTGCTGGCAATACCACAGCAACTGCTGTCCTCAATGTCACTGCTGCTGATGCCAGTGTCAACTACACCTACTTTACAACGGTTACCGTGGAAACAGTGGAGTCTGCAGGAGATGAAGACTCTGCATTGGTTGCAACTAATGAGACCTTTATCCACGTCCATACTGGTCCCACTCCCTCAGGCCATCTGTGGCCGGAGGGTATTCCTACCACAGCTTCCTCTCGGTCAGCTGGCTGGTCGTCCTCCTCTCCTCGAGCCACCCGACCCACTTTCACTGTGCCCATCACTGAGCCAGGCTTCTCAGGCCTGGATGATGTGATGAAAACCACAAGTCGTGGAGCTTGTGAGAAAAACCCCCAAGATCTTCATTGGCTGCTTCGTAGCCATTACCTTCATGGCAGCAGTGATGCTGGTGGTGTTCTACAAGCTGAGGAAGCAGCACCAGCTGCATAAACACCACGGCCCCGCTCGCGCCATTGAGATAATCAATGTGGAGGATGAGCTGGGGACCGGGGCCAGTGGACGGGGCAGTGGAATCTCAGGAGGCTCCACCCTGACACAGAGTGGAAACAGTGGACTAGGTGGGGGGCAGAGCCTCAGGCTGCATCATCCGGAGATAGTCAACCTGCCAAACCTCGCCCGATCAGAGCATCTCAATCATTACTACAAAACCCATCATTTCAACAACAACATGATGGGCCTCGGCTTGGGCACAGGTTCTGGAGTGGGCCTCAACAACAACAACAACCCTTCACCGTGCTCTCAGTCTCAGAACATAAGCTGTTCCCAGGTTTCAACCTGTACCACTGGGGGAACATCCACTATAGGCACCCTGCCCTCCCCTGTGCCCCTGCCCCAGTTGGGTCTCCACAGTTCTTTGAAAGGCCTAATGGGGAAAGGCCAGAATGAGCCACTGCTTTTTAAGAGTGGCTCTAAGGAAAATGTGCAAGAGACTCAAATCTGAGCAGAAGTAAGAGGTAAGGAGGAAGGGATGCTGGATAGAGACAGTGATACAGAAAGCACCTATGAGACTGGTTGTAGCCTGCTGTCCTCATGGACAGATTCTGGAAAAGATGAAATTTCACATAGTCACTGCTTTGTGTTGTCAATCTCTTGACAGAGACGAGCAGATAGGAGACAAAGTAAGATATCTGATCAGCACTAGTCCCACAGTAGCATCTGCACTTACTTTTCAGCAAAATCAGACACAAACATATACGACGTAAACCACAAACATCCAAAGCACCTGCCTCAACCTGCTTACAGTCTTTGCCAAAGTACTGTTGAAGATCAAGCCACACAATCACAGTGAGAAGCTATGAATAATACACCTGTGCAGCGAGCCTCTCCAGGCTTTATACACATTGTGTTGTGTATTTCCAGACACATTTAGTGTATATATTTAGAGGGAAACATAATATTGGCTATTGAACATGTTGTCAGATTAGTGTTTGGCAGAGACACTGAATAACAAACCATGGTTTGGGTAAGCAATACAGTCCCAGGTTTTCAGGAAGCGCGAAAACGGAGAGAAAAACTGGAGCAGTGCAGTGATTCTATCCAGGACACACATACCAGACTAGTACTTTACAGGCAGACAGAACAACAGTTGTTTTTTCAGAGTGTTTTCACTCTCCCTTTCTCACTTTTTCCCTTTCACACCTTACCGGCTACTGTCTTCTTTTAAGGAGGAGAGAAAAAGAGTGGGCTAACATGGGTGAAGAAAAAAAATCCCATGGCATTAAAGACAATGAGAGATATAAAAAGGACCGAAAGTATATATTATATATACCGTAAATATATTTTCATTCAAAGAAATAAATTATAAAGAATCTTTATCAAGCTTCTGACTGAAAACTACAACGTCTGAAGAATATCTTTAAAAAAATACACAGCTGTTGTAGTGGCCCTCCCTTACAACTTTTGACAACTTGGAATAAGATGGCTGTTCCGACTGTGCTGCATAAGGACCCACGTGCGAGAGTGGCATCTATTGAGAAGGAGCTAAAACAAAAAAAACTTGGCAAAGTATTTGAGTGAATTTATTTTGGTTTCCACTTTTTTGTAGCACACAAATTGTTTTCCCTCTCCTGACGCACTCACATAAACAGGGTCATTGGAGGAGGAAGATTTTTACGCTCTACTGCAAAAACAAGAAATATGACTACAGCTCTTCATCATTTGGTAAACAGTGTGGCTATAGTATTAATTATAATAATCATAATGGTGATAATGATAACAAGCTTTAGCTTTATTTGTCATAATGGTCTTTTAATGATCAAAAACATGTTACTGTACATATTACTACAAATTTGCACATGCTAGTTTAGCATGCACTCCAAATTCTACATTTGGTTTTAGCATATAATAGATGATCTGTCACGACGATGATAATATGACATATTATTGTTATGGTGTTATCAATTTTATCATCCAAATGATTATTATTATTACTACTTCTGCCTAGAAATAGCTGAGAAGTACTTTTTTTCATTTGTATATGACACTGAAATTGTTTTGTGACTGATCCTGTTGGACTGTTGGGCTAAAGAACGGTAGTGGGACGGACTCAGCGTGCCACTAAAGAGAACACAACATGCATTTTTTTTTTCATGGACTTGTCTGCTCTGATGTTTCAAGCAGTCAGGACCCCCCTCTTGTTGTTACACATTAAAGACGGGACATGAACCTTTGATGAAGATTGCGCCTTTGCAAGGGATTATTTCACAGCTGTATCTCAGTGTTATCGTGTGTGAGTGGATATCATGGCAGCAGGGAACTAAATGGACAACAGGCATTGCCAAGCATTTTTAAAGGTAAGCAAAGCTAGTTCACTGTTGGAGAAGGTGACATACAGTACAGTATTATACAGTGGTGGGTGAATTTTTTTTTCTAAAGAAAAAGGACAATTAAATGAAAAAATATAGAACCTTAATAGATCTCTTTTAAAAAAACAAACCTATTATGATCAGTGTTTTTCATTTTGGGTTTTTATCTAGTTTGATTATTTTCTGTTTTTTAAATCAAGTGTTATCTTTATTGTAATATTGTTACTGTTATTATAATTAGCTAATTACACTGGTTAAGATTATGAAAGATGTTCTGTTAGCAGAGGTCACTTTGAAAATTAAAAAAACCTGGCACATAAAATGGCAGTTGAAGTCTGTGAAATCTGGTGGCTATTTTTTTTTTCTTTTTGTTATAATCACTTTAAATTGTAGTATCACTGTTAGTATCCCTTTGGCTGTGCTTGAGATGAGACATAGCGAATGTGAAATGGTCAGCACTGGGTTCTTAATTTTTTTCTGCACAGGGGGACAGGAAAGGCCCTGCTCCGGTTTACAAGCTCACTCACACTCGCTCTGTGCTTTCCTGAATGTCATTGCAATCACAGCGCTCAGAGTGCAATTATGCTATGTCAACACCTTGTTGCCATGACTACACACTCAGACTATTGTGCCAAATGGCGCCACCATATTGACACGTCGTAAGGCACCCCATTGCCCCTCGTCAGCCACGTTCCTTTTAGATGCCACGTCTCGATGAGATGGTTAGTGTTCCTTCAGTAGTAGCAAATCAACCTGAGCATTGCACCCGTGTCCTCACATAAAATGTTCCCTCCTCCCCCTGCTCCAGTCCTCCCCCAGTCCTCAGCATCCTGCCATCAGGTTTCCCTGGCAACTGTTGCCGCTGCGACAGCCCTTATCACAGCATCTTGATTTGGGTTTCGAATGCTAAACAGACAAGAGCAGTCAATGTAGAATTTCATCCATGTATCCATCTTAAAGATATTTTCCCCTTTTCACCAGGTGATTTGACGCATAATGTTCCTCACTATTGTATTTCATCTGTTTACACTAGCAGCTATATTTCTTAAACACTCTGACATTCAGTCAGTGAATCATGGGAATTGCATGTCACCAGCCCCTGTCCATTTAATTTGCATAGGCCACACATCATTCCTAAATGCATTTATGCACTCTATGCTTGTGATTAAAGCTCATGCACTGCATCAGCCATTAATGTATTCTTTTCCCAGCACAACGGAGCCATATTCCCCTTACCAGTTATTTACATATTCCTCTGCCTCTGTGTGTGCAAATATCGGCGAAATTATCACATGGGCATGCTTGAGGGTATGAGTGTGGTGTGGGTTTGTGTGTCAGTTTTGTGTACATCAGTGACTGAAAGCAAGGACTGTTAGAAAAGCTATTTACCCCTAATTCCTCAGATACTATGTGCCCTGGCAATCGCCCGTGGTAGCTCATCACTTTGGAAAGCAATGTGTAGCCCCTTCAAGTGACACAAACCAGAGGCCATGTTATTGAGGCTCAGTGTTAGAGAGCAGCGGTTGAGCTAGAGACACACAGTCACTGCGCTGCAGTGTCTGAGTCACAGAGCACTGAACACATTTCCAACACTCTAATGGAAATGTTGTGTTTACTGTACAGGAAGGGAGCCTTTCATTCACCCATTCAGGGAACAGGTGAAAAATACTAGGATATGGGTGTGTGTGTGTGTGTGTGTGTGTGTGTGTGTGTGTGTGTGTGTGTGTGTGTGTGTGTGTGTGTGTTCGTGTGTTTTTACATGCATGGCTCTGAATTCTAAAATGCCCATTGTACTGTTGTATAAGGCAAAGAAATGGGGATATTTGAAGCGGTGGGCTGCACTATTTATGGCAGAAGATGTTACACCATTGTTGATGCAATACTGTGTGTGTGCACATTCAGGTGGGCCTACATTAGCTAGGTGTGTATGGAGGGGACGAAGCAGGAGGAGCAGTCAGACCTCCATTTTAAATCCCCAGTTTAAACCCGGTCTGTCTGTCTCCCTCTGCTTCAGGCTACTTTTATCATCCTCTCACTGACAAAGTAAAAACAGGATCTTTTTTTCTGCTTAAGCAGCTCCCCCTCCTCTTTCTCTCTGCATTTTGGGATAAACCCAACAGATGAAAAGTCGGTTCAGCCAGGCCAACCTTCCCTTTCAGCAGAACATCCCCAGCCTCTTTGAGCTCTTTCTGACACAAGTTGAGCATCAAAGGTCAAGTCTAAGTGTTTACCTCCTGTCTTCAGCCAGCTCATTAAGGTTCCCATTTTGGATTGTGTCATTTGTTTTTATCGTTTTGTCCTGGCTCAGCAATATAAGAGAGTAACACCTGTTGGTGAAGCTTAAATGATTTTTAATGTGCATTTTCAGAGGCTGTATTTGTGGTTAACTGCCTTGACAGGAATGTAACTTTTAGTCCTAATCAATATGATGCACATGAAATGATTTGGAGCTACTCTCTCACAGTGGGTGAGGCTTGTGTAATCACAGGTATGAGGGCGCTTCAGGTTCAGTGTGTTGCTCATTGTGGTCAGCATTGTTAGAAACAGCGGCCACACTCGCACCAGTCCCCGAGGGCGGTGTTGCACACGTTAACTCTCCACTACAAGCCCTGTGTGAGTGCCACACTGCTTAATTTCATTTCTATTACTCCCCCTTTAAAAATAGCAGTGAAGTGACAGCAGAGCTCAATGCATTATTGATACATATGGTGTCAATGATGCATGTGCTTAAGCACCAGTGCTAATTTTCCCCCAGTTGCAGCGGCCAGACACGTCAAACCGCTATAATTTATATGCATTATTTGCTATTATTTTTCTCACAGCCATCAAGATGGTCTGTGAGAGCAGAGCCAAACATTGCAGCTCATATCCTCACATGATGGCTGCTATGATTCTATTAAGTGCAGCAGTGTTTTGTGTGCCACTGTGTCTTCATTGTGCTCTCTGCTGTGGGATGGCTGGCAGTCAGGGGCCGCTTTTATGACATTGGTCTGAGGCTGACTAGATGGCACCAGTTTTTACATGCTCAGGTCATTCTCTTCAGTCATTTTTATGTATTTTTGGATCACTGTTGCTTTGGTCACATTTAGCTTCTGCTAGAGTTTGAGATGTGATATTTTTTTACAGACTTTTTTTTTCTGTCTCATCACTGTGAAAACCCTGCCCTGCAGCCAAATCTAACCACTCTCACAGACGTGCACATATTGCACATGCACCCAGCCCCTCACATACACACACACTCTGACACTGATTGACTGAGTGAGTTATTGATTGAGCTGAGCATTCTTAAACACTTTGCAGCGGAGTGCAGTGGAGGTTAACACAAACTGCTGCCATTGTGCTTTGGTTTATGCATGTGTGCATTATAATTCATTGATGGAACATTAGCACATGGCTTATTTCCTTGTTGCCTTGGTGACTTTGTCGTTGGTCACAAGATGTCCGTTTCTGGTCGTCTTGCAAGCTCTGGGCTGCTTGGAGTTAGATGAAGCTTGTCAGTGTGTCCGGGCTGTGACATGGGAATGATGACTGGTGTCTCATCACAGATTACCATCTCCTCTGTGTCATTCAGCTGTGGGTCAGCGGGCCTCTGAGCTAAACCTAAAGGAAAACTGGGGGAAAAAAATCCACACAGTCACTGAAATAGTTAAAGGGGACACACTCATAGCCCATGTCATTGTAAAGTACCAATTCATGAGAATAGTAAAGCTGGACTGCTGCTTAACACAGAGATTCACATGAATGCATCATAAAGGAGGATATCAGTGTCATGATGAAAACCTTGTAACTCAAATTTTGAACATCAGTGGAGTGATTACATTTTCTGTTTGTGCTGAGAAAACCCTTTGTGCTGGTGAAACACTTTCAGAACTCCATGGGGTAAACTAAAAATGCATGTTGTGGCAAGTTCAAAAGATGGCTGCTTGTCTTAGATCCTGAAAGGCTGACATTTGGTGCAATGGAAGGTTTTCACCTGCTAGCGACCATATTGGGTTTTCAAATACAGATTCATGCTCTGAGAACAATGTGAGATGTTACAGCTCCTGTTGGGATGTGAGCACATACTCTGGGAGAAACTTCATGGCCTGGGGCGCTGTAGAAAACTCCCCTCCAGTTTTGTGATGTGTGCGGACTCACTCGTATTGGGAAGTCCTAAACCATTCGTAACTATTAAAGCACGTGTTAACCCCACAGCTCCTCTCAGAGGATTGACTCACAGTTAAGTTTTTAAAACACATATTCCCTTCTATCAACAGCAGGTGAGTCCCAGGTTTACTGTTTATGGGCACCTTGGCTCAGCATCATAATCACACTCTGCTGTGCCTGATGTTTGTTTGAAGCTAGGCTGGGGCCATGGAGTACATTTCAACACTTTGAAGTGTAAATTCAGGTCTGGTTGGAGCAGCATATGGAAGCCAGTGAGGAGAAAAGTGACAGCCTTAAATATAAAAGCTGGTGGTTTGATAATGAACCCTTATCTGTTTACTGAGGTGGCAGGGGCCCCAGGGGGACATGAGTTCAAGCCCAGACAGGATGTCAACAGTAAGGGTCAGAATTTGTCTGGGCTCAGAGAAGTCAGAGCAGAACTCAGCCCTGACCTAGATAGGCCTCCCCAGCTGAGCCTTGAATCAGGCCTTCAACATCCAGCCTGTGAAAGAAGTTTTTTTTTTAAAGTAGGAGACAGTTGTAAACAGTCATCAATATGAAACAAACTAAGTGACACCAACCTCAGGTTATAGTTTTACCCTGATGATGTTCATGAATGGCT